TTGGGCTCCTGCCCCTTTCGTGTTGAAGGCTGAGGGACGGTTTTGGCCAGGCCTCCCGCCTGCCCGGCCCTCCCTGCCCCTGGTGCCCCCGCAGTCACCCCAGGCTGCCCCCTGCACGCCCCGCCTCACCGGGGGCAGGCCCTGGGACACTCACAGTGAACTTGACAGTGTCCACCAGGTACTGCAGGAACAGGAGGATGGACTGCACTGCTCGCTGGCGCTCGTGGATCTTGTCAGACATCAGCCAGGGCTCTGTGTGCTGGACCCCAAGACCCAAAGAGTGGGGCCCCAGGGGCCAGGCAGGCACCGGGAGGGGGAGGTGGCATACCCCAGGGAGGGGAGCTCCCTGCTGGAAGTCCTCTACCCATCGCACCAGCACCGGGGTCTGAGTCCCATTCTCTCTGCTCTCCAGCTGTTTTATGCCCACTCTTCCCTCTTGGCTGTGCCCATGCTCCTGCCCCCAGGACTGGCTGGCCCCTATCCCAGCGCTATGGGGCTGGCCAAGGATTTCCAAGCCACCTGGTGGCCACCAGAGCACCCCAAGCTCTTGGGGCCTCGACTGCCCTGAAGGTGTTCGGTGGGTGACTTCCTGCCTGGCAGGCCCTGGAGCCCCTCTGCCTGCGGGCTGGCTGGCAGCCCCTGGAGCCCCTCCGCCTGCGGGCTGGCTGGCAGCCCCTGGAGCCCCTCCGCCTGCGGGCTGGCTGGCAGCCCCTGGAGCCCCTCCGCCTGCGGGCTGGCTGGCAGGCCCTGGAGCCCCTCCGCCTGCGGGCTGGCTGGCAGCCCCTGGAGCCCCTCCGCCTGCGGGCTGGCTGGCAGCCCCTGGAGCCCCTCCGCCTGCGGGGCCCCGTCCTCACCTGCAGGAGGAAGCAGACCTCATCCATGCTGCTGTTCTGGGTGATGAAGGTACGCAGCAGCAGGTTGAGGGCGCACATGGTCTCCTTGAACAGCGCCTGTGTGGGGACAGGCCACCCCGCATTGCCACTCCCGCTGGGCAGCGATGTTCACCCAGCCCCCTCTCACTGAGGCCGCTGCAGTCCTCAGGCGGGGAGCCCAGGGCTGGAGCCAGGGGGCGGTCTGCCCTACCCTCTCCAGCCTCCCCTCCCGCCCCCCACTGTCTGCTCCTGGTGCCCAAGGCAGCTATCCCTCTGCTTCATCTTCACTGGGAACAGATGCTCAGAGGCCACCCCCAACCCTGACCCAGCTCCCCACTGATGCATCTGGGAGGGCAGCAGAAGAGTGGGCGCTGCCACGCACGTGCGAGACCAGAATGGAGGTCTGAGCTCCTGGCCGCAGCCTGGCCCAGCCCCAGAGGAGGGAAGACCTTTCTGTCTCACCCCTGCCCATCTCTCTTTCTTCACTTTGCCTTTGAATGAGTCTTTAAACAAATGGAAGCGCAGATCCAACTGCCTGTTCGAGGAGTCTTCTGAGACACGGAAATGCATGCATGTGGTGAATGAACGCCATGGGCTCCCAACTTCCTGCACCCAGTGAACAGGTGCTGACTCAGCATGGGACCTAAGGTGAAGCCTCAAGGAGGAGATACCAGTTTAAAAAGAGCACCCACTGGTTGGCACTGGGACTAATGGGAACGCCGCCTAAGGACACTGGCATCCCATGTAGGCTTGGGTCTGAGTCCTGACTGCTCTGCTTCCCATCCAGCTCCCTGCTAATGCACCTGGGAGAGCTGTGGGAGACGGCCCACGTGCTTGGGCTCCTGCACCCACCTGGGAGACCCAGGAGAAGTTCCTGGCTTCAGCCTGGCCCAACCTGGTGCTGGTTGGGACAGGGTCTCGGAAGCCATGGCTGCCCCAAGGAAGCCGTGCCCGGGTAAGCCTTCTCAGGGCTCCTTCGGGCATTTACATCCAGCCTTGACAGGGACCCATTCTCTCACTAACCACAGGAAAGGGGCACGGCTTGGCTGCATTCCTGGGACCCCAGGCCTAGGGAGTGCCTCTGGGATCATCCCCCAAAACCAAGGCCTTAAGCTTGGTGGGGCTCACCTTAGCAGGTGAAGTGCGTTTGTTGGCTCTTTCACTGCACTGCAAGTTTTCAGAACCCAAATGGAAGGACTAACCCTGCCTCCAGCAAGCCCGAGCCAACGTTTCCACTCAAAAACACGTCTCGTCTCAACCAGACACTTCCCAGAAGAAAACCTAGCTGCTAGGGATGTGTCAGCAAGAGAGGGGAAACTATGGTGCTGACCGCTGAAGATGGCTGAGGTAGCCACAGGGTCGTCACACCGAGGGGCCGAGGCCCTGCGCTTATGACGGCACCAGGACCGCCACCAGCAGGAAATGGAAACGCTTACAAGTCTACAATGTGAGCCTCAAGGTCAACGAGACGGTGGCCGGTGGAAGCACAACAGTGAGGGAGTACGCAGTGATGGCCAGAGGGTGTGGACAGGAGGCTCCAACAGTGCTGTCCTCTGCAGGCCATGTGTGGATGCCCATGTGGCCGGTGCAGAGGCACCCTCCTGAGGCAGCCAGCACACTGACCAACAGACCCCTGCTAGGCATAGTGGCTAGGCAAAATGGCGGGAGCATGCCGGGTCAGCACGCAGAGCTCAGCTGTGTTCCCAAGCGCCAGGAAAGGAGTGAACAGGCAGGAGCTTTAAATGCCATGAGGAAAGTGTGAAGCACATACAATGACAGCTGGCCGCGGCCATGCACACGGGGGCGGGGAGCTCGGAGGGGCCAGACCAGCTAACCGTGTAGGGAGGAGCTGAGCCAGCCTCACAGAGCAGGAGACGAGATCGCACCAAGAGGCCGGTCATGGCTAGACCCATCAACCTGAAACCCAGTGTGCTCCTGTGCAAGCGGCCCGTCTGTGTCTACAATTCGACGACCCCGGGAGGGCGGGATGAGCCTACCTGTGGCTTCCCTGTGACTACCTGCCTGGCCTTGCCCTGCGGCTCCCAGGCAAGGTAAGCTCCTCTGCCATCCTGGTGCTGGCAGCCTTTGGGTGTGCTGTGACGTGGGCTCGTGGGCCCCGTGGGTGCCGCATTCCTGCCATGCCCTCCCTCCGCACGCTGCCTCCTGCATTCCGGGTCTGGGCCCAGGGCCCACTGCTGAAGGCCCTGCTCTCGGTACCTCGCTGCCTCGGCGAATTCTGAGGATTGTAGACGTGGAGCCCGCTGCGCCTGTCATGCAAGTGATGGACATGGCAGCAGGGTGGGATAGTCATGCAAGTGATGGACATGGCAGCAGGGTGGGATAGTCATGCAAGTGATGGACATGTCGGCAGGGTGGGATGGCCGATGTATGATGAAGATGCAGGGACTGCTGAGCGGAGCCACTGCACGCGAGGTGCAAAGCACTGACCCTCAGCGTGCCTGCTGGACCACGGGCAGATTTACACCCTCAAAATGAGGTGGCGTCTCCACTCTGGCAGGAGAGCCAGCAGGAGGCTTCTCTGTCCAGTTCCTTTGTGCTGTCTGAGGCACAGCCGCCATCGCCCTCCCCACCCCACCAGATCCAACCTCCAGCACGGGAAGAGGGAGAAGCTGCCTGTCCATGAGCCGACGAGAGGCCAGGAGCAGCGTCTGAAGCTCTGGGCGCTTCCACAGGACACAGCGGCCATTTGCATACAGCTGAGGTCAGCACAGATTCCCTGGGGACACCCCAAGACAAGCCCATGGAGGACAGCTAAATCAAGCTTGCTGCAAATGAAGGGGAGACTGGCAGGCAAGAGGGGGGAGACACTTATACACACACAGGAAACGCCTCACGTCTGATACAAGGGCATCAGGGCAGGCCTCGTGGCACTACGGGTTAAACCGCTACCTGCTACACTGGCATCAGTTCGAGTCCCAGCTGCCCACTTTAAATCCAGCTCCCTGCTAACAGCCCAAGAGGCAGCAGAGGATGACCGAGCACTGGGGTCCCTGCACCCACCTGGGAGACCTGGTAAAGGCTCCTGACTCCTGGCTTTGGCTGCTGCAGCTGTCTGGGGATGAACCAGTGGAAAACCTCTCTCCCAGTAACTTTCAAAGATAACAAGTGTTTACAACAAAATACAGGCGTGTCAGACTGAGCCTCAGCCAAGCAGGTGTCAAGATGACAAGCCAGCATGAGAGAGGCTGCTCCATGACACATGTGAGCAGGAAGTGCATGGAGAGCCCCACGAGGTACCGCCGCACACCTGGAGGGTGGGCTAGCCCTGCCAGGGAGGGCGCAGCATCAGGACTGCCCATGTAGGAGCTGCAGATCAGGAAGGCCAGGCTGTTTGGAAAAGAGCTGCGCAGTTTGTGACAAACCTCCCCCTACCTTGTGTGTCCTATCCCCACAATCAGCCCTGAGTGTGCAACAGGGACCCCCATGTCTCTGTGCAACAGGACCCCCGCATCTCTGTGCAACGGGACCCCCGCATCTCTGCACAGGGGACCCCCATGTCTCTGTGCAACGGGACCCCCGCATCTCTGTGCAACGGGACCCCCACGTCTCTGTGCAACGGGACCCCCGCATCTCTGTGCAACGGGACCCCCACGTCTCTGTGCAACGGGACCCCTGCGTCTCTGTGCCCAGGGGACCCCCACGTCTCTGTGTTCATGTCTGAGCTCTGGTTATGACTCTAACTGCCTGCTGACATGACCCTGGGAGCCACAGGTGGCTGCTCATGCCCTTGCCACCAACTGGACGGCCTGAATGAAGCTCCGAGCTTGGACCTGGCCCAGTCCCGGCTGCTACGGGTATCTGGGAAGTGAACTGGCCGATGTCTGCGTACCTTTCAGATAAGGTGGGGAAAAAATCTTTATAAAACCCTAAGAGCCACAAACTAAAGTGCCCAGTGGAGAGCAGTGAGGGGGGTGTCCCTGGGCGGGGGGTTGGGGAGGCGAGCCAGAGCTGCTCTGGCTCCAATCTCATGAAGGCCTCACAGTTACAGCCAAAGGACAGAAAGATGTGGCATTCAGGTTGGCCAGTGCTATGCCCACCCCCAGCCCAGGGCCCCTCCTGGGGGCTGCCCATGACTACTGAGACACAGCAAGTGGCCTGCAGGGGCTTCGGAGACCCCCTCAGGGTCCCAGCACCCCAGCAATGGCCCACCATGGCTCCTGCCCACCAGAGGATGAGTGTTCAGCCCCCGTGGCTGCCATGTCTGCTTGGTGGGGGTCTACAGCTGACATCCTCCCACACCACCTGCTGCTTCACCCCCTCACCTCACTGTGGCCCCATAGCAAGGCTGCACGCTGCTCCCCCACCTTGCCCTCCTTCAGGAGCAGGGTCTCCTGCAGCAGGGCAGCGTGTACACAGCCACCTGCCCCGGCACAAAGGCGCCGGGAGCATCGGAGTGCAGAACTAGCAGGTCCTGGGGCACAGCAGGCTGGAAGCTGGTGAGCATGACTGGGCATGGCAGGGCACTAGGGACCCCACTGTGGGGGTCACTGTTGGCCTGGACGGGAGTTCTCACCACCCCCAACCCACGCCCAGCCTGGAGGCAGGAGGGTTGTGGGGCGGGACGTCACCGTGGCGTTGGGATCCAGCTGCATCAGAGCAGGGCAGCCCTCCGGCGTCTCTGTGGGCACGGGTGGGAGCATGAAGACGCTGCTGAAGCAGACCTGCAGGACCCTGTCCTTCACCAACGGCTTTAGGTGTGGCCGCAGCTTGCTGCAAGAGACGCACGCAAGGTTCTGACAAGGTCCCGACTGACGCTGGCGGCTCAGCATGTGGGACAAGTGACAGACAAACCTTGGACTGGGCCCGGGGCAGGAGGTGACCAGGGCTTTGCACTGAGCTGGCCATGTACTGACAGTGGAGCAGAGGCGGCCCCAACCGCAGCCCCCGCCGTCGCTCACCCCGAGGGCCCAGGAAGTTAATTACCTCAGCCCCACCACGACCAGGATGATCTTTGGCCGGAAGGGGGAAGCCAGGAAGTTGGGCTCCTTCTGCAGGATGCACTGGTTGGGCAGAGAAGGGGCGCGGCATGGCTGTGACGCCCGGCCCGATGTGCCCACCCCTCGGGGCAGGGTCCGGGTGCCACGTACCAACAGGCACTGGACGAGCTCTGGGATCTGCGTGAACCTGTAACTCTGCGTGTTGTACTCCTGCTGGAGGGTTTTCGTGAGCATGGAGGCTGCCGACAGGAAGCTGGACCTCAGGGTCTCATCCTGGTCACACACGGGCAGGGAGAGGAGGTGGAGTCGGGGGGGCAGGCAGTGCTACCCCAGCTCCTAGGATGCCGGAGGGCATACATCCACGTGGTGCCCTACGTGCCTCACACCCCCTCACCAGGCATGCATGTAACACACTTTCACACAATACGCCCACACACCATGCACAAGGCAGTGTCTGCACAAAGTTCATGGAGAATGAGCTTTATGAAAAAAACTATGCATGGGTTTCCAATGTTGTGCACCAGATCTGTCTTAAACGTTTTATTTAGTGAGTTACTTGAAAGAGAGAGCAAGCTGGCATCTACTGGTTCACCGCCCCAACGTCTTGCAATGACTGGAGCTGGCCGAAGCCAAAGCCAGGAACGCAAAACCCAATCGCAGTCTCATCGGGAGGCCAGATGCCACCTGCTGCACTGGGCAACGGGAGCGAGGCAGGAACGGCAGCAGAAACGGCCCGGGGGAGACCAAACACTTGCTCCTACCCGGGTTTTGAAGTCCTGCGTGCCAACAGGCACTGTTCATCCAGGACAGACACACATGCACACGTCGCCACACGCCCCACACAGCACGGCATACGCACAGGTGCCCACGCAGCATGCAGCCAATGGACTGGGGGCACCAGGGTAAACTGCATGGCCACCTCCTACGGCTCAGGGCTGTGGCGGGAGAGGGGGTCCCTGTGCCCTCTGCTGGCCTCACTGGCCCGGACTGGCCAGGCTAGGCACTAGCGGGAGCCACAGGGGCAGCCTGGACCCCGGGTGGGCTCTGGCTGGCTTCAGCCTAACCCCACCTGTGCCTGGCCCTCCCTGGGCGCTGCCCCAGCTGCAGCCACTCTCAGGGCACTCACGCAGCTGCTGCTGGAGAAATAGTAGACCATGCGGGAGACGATGTTGTCCACCCAGGGCAGGATCTGCTCCTTGGCATGCATGGCCATCTGCCCGTAGCACAGCAGGGCAGTGCTGCTGACCCACTTCCAGTGCAGGTCGGGGTCTGACTCCTGCTGGGGGGTGCAGAGTAGGAGAGTGGGGAATGGTCTGGGGCCCTCGTGAGCAGTGCACGCTGCTGCTCAGCTGTGCCCATGTCGCAGGCTCAGGGCCAGCCCCCTCCTCCAGGAAGCCCTTCCAGCTGACACACTGCCAGGCCGCCTTGTCCCTGAGCCAAGGACTGACTGGCAATTGGCATCTCTAGGGCAAGCTCCTGGGTCTGGCGTCAAGACTGAACCACACACGTCAGCGGGAGCTCCAAATCCTCACCTTGGGGTCCCAGGGCCAGTGTGCATCCTCAGTGCAACCCCTCTGGGGAAGGCACCTCCACCCCACCCTCTGCCATCGCCCTACCTGGGTGTCCCTGAGGGCCGACCTCAGGAAACGGGTGCGGCCCAGGTGCTCCAGCATGGCCCACACCACCTCCAGGTGCGAGGCAGACGCCAGGCCCACAGCAAACGCAATGCCCTGCAGCCAGAGGGCCAGTGAGACAGCGCCTCCCAGCCCGGTGTGAGTGGCCTGCAGCCCGCCCCGGGGGGCCGCTCCTCCTGGCCCACCTCCCGCTGGCTGCAGCTCTGATGTGACAGATCCAGGAGGCGGGTCAGGTACCGCTTCACCAGCGCTGCATCGCCACACTCCCGCAACATTAGCCCGTACAAGCTGAGCAGGAACACCTGCGGCCGCCCAGGGAGAGGATGCTGGGAGGCGCTGCCCCCTTGTTGCCCCCCAGAGGACCCTCGCCCACACCCCAGCCCACCCAGCTCCCGGGCTCCCTGCCACGTGGGACTGCCCGGCCTGCCCAGCTTGGGTCCAGCTATAACACCATGGTGGGTGTAAGCATGAGAATGGAAGGGGGCTGCTTGTGCAGAAGTTCCACTTCAGGCTGGGCTGCCTGCTGGGGGGACTGGGCAGGGTGCTACCTTCTCCTTTGCTTGCTGGGGGTCCAGGCACAGGATCTTCGCAAGGTTCTGGATGGCGCTGTCCTCAAAGCTGGGCAGCAGCTCGCTCCCAGAGGGCTGTGGGCAGAGCCCAGGCGGGCAGGGAGCTCTCGCCTCTACCCCTCCTGCACAGCACAGGGGACTCCACCCCAGGGTGCTGAGCCAGGGGCAGGTGGCCTGGCTAAAGTGCTGGCACCTGCAGGGAGGGCTCCCCGACCCTCATTCCAAGAGTGTCTGCCTCTTCCTGTGCCCAGGGCAGCTTTCCCTGCACGTCCCTGGGCCAGGCTCTTGGGCCCCTCACGTCCAGTGTCCTTTGGAGGAGAGGGGCTGCGTGGCCAGCCAGGGCCCACCTGGCCATGCTCCTCCAGGCAGTGGCAGATGGCTTCCAGCAGCGGGCTCTGCTCCGTGGCCATCAGGCTCCGGATCCTGCTGGTCTGCTCCTCCTGCAGTGACAAGCAGACGCTCCCAGCCTCCGCCTCCAACTCCATGTCCGAGACGCCTGTGGAGAACAGAGGACACAGCTGAGGGTAGGCTGTGCTGGTCCTGCTTGGCTCCCAACGCAGTCTACACACCAGCGGGACGAATGCACAGAGGACCAGGGCACGGGAACGTGGCCCCCAGCCACAGCTGGGGTCTACAGACTGACCAGGGACATGTGTGCGGATTGGCAGGTCAAGGAAATTGCAAATCATTCAGGATAAATTAGCTTCAGCCTGGTTTCCTACACACCCTGTTAAGTAGCTGAGGCTGCGAGATTTAAGTTTCTCATCTGGGCCTGGGGGGCAGCGCAACGGTGCGGCAGATTCAGCCGCCATCGGCAACCCAGGCGCTTATGTTGGTGCAGGTTCCAGCCCCAGTCACTCCGTTCCCATTCAGCGCCCTGCGTGCATGAGAGCTCGGATGTCTCTGGACCTGGCCACCCACCTGTGCACCCCCAGCACCTCCAGGGAAGCAGGCGGCAGCTGCTCTGGGCAGCACCCTGCCCCCTGCCCTGACAGCTCAGGACTGCTTCCTAGTTGCACCACCATGAGCCTGAGGTGCTTAAGCGGGTTGCGGGATTGGACACAGCCAAGGAGCAAAACCCCACAGCACACTCTGTTCCTGGTTGGTGCAGAGTGGCTGAAGTCCTTCTAGAAGTTTCTGTCTGTACACCCTGCCTGCCACAGTGAGAGAGACACAGCCCCATGTAACCCAGGAGGTCCCCAACCCTACACCAGCCTCCCTGACCCTACTCGGCTCCCCAGACCTGGCCCTGTCCCCTTCTCACCCTCCCTGCCCCTACCCTTGCAGCATCCCCAACCCGGCTCACCAAACTCCAGCTCCAGCACTTCGCGCAACAGTGGGTGGGAGCTGGACCTCCATGGCATCAAGGAGAAAGTCTCACTGAACCGGCTTGACATGGTGAGGATGGGCGCAAGGCAGACAGCACCTGCAGGGTCAGGCAGGAGGGGTTCCGGTGGCAACCCAATGGGAGCCAGCCCCAGGGGACCCTGCACAGGCACCCCAACCTCTATAGGTCTCTGGGGGATGGCGGGAGAGGAGGAGCCTGAATGGCTGGGGTCCTGTGCCCCACCTCATGCCCTGCTCAGCCACCCCACGTGACTCTGACAGTTCTCTCTGACCAGGGTTTCCAGGGCAGGCAGCAGCAGCCACCCAGCTCCCCTCACCATCCCACCCCCCATGGGTGTGGGCAGCAGTGATCCTAAGGACCTTTCTGCTCACATGCCTGACTTCCTGCCCCTTCCCTGGGACCACCCTGCCCAGCACGTGCCTGGCTCTGCTCCCAGATGCTGCAGGTCCCTGAATTTGTGTGAGTCAGCACAGAGTGGCCACCTGCACTCTGAGACATATTCTGGTCAGCTGGTCAATCTTTGGTAGCTAAGCTGCATCTGCAATTTGGTCCTGGGATTGTCTCAGACTCCTGTGACTCCTCAGGGTCCTTACCCTCTATCAGGCAGCAGGCCTGACCCCCGCTGCAGACCCCACTTCTCCCGCTGTCTTCTCTGGCCCCACCTTATCGTCAGGATGAGCCCTGCCCAAGTGCCCACTTCAGGGCTCCTGGGAGTGCTCCATGGCCCAGCAGCTTTCCAACTTGCTCCCTGTGGACTATAGGGCTCATGCACTGCATCTGCCCTGGTACCACCACACACTCTGAACCCTCCATACAGTCTTCCTGCACCGTGGAGGCCCTGGGCACACCTGCCTCTCCCTCCTTGGCAGGTGAATGAATGAGTGAGGGATGAAGCTAATGAATGAGCAAATGAATAAAGGAGTGGATGCTTGGGTGATGGAGGGACTGCGAAGAATGAATTTGCAAGTGAGCAGAAGAAGTGGGGAATGAGTGATCGAGGCAGTGAGTGGAATGAATAAGAGAGTGAACTAACTGGTAGAATGAGTCAATGAATGAGCACATGGATGGATGGATGGATGGATGGGTGGATGGGTGGGTGGAGGGATGGATGGGTGGATGGGTGGATGGGTGGGTGGGTGAATGGGTGGGTGGATGGAGGGATGGAGGGATGGATGGATGGGTGGGTGGATGGAGGGATGCATGGGTGGATGGGTGGGTGGGTGAATGGGTGGGTGGATAGAGGGATGGAGGGATGGATGGATAGGTGGGTGGATGGAGGGATGGATGGATGAGTGGGTGCATAAGTGAGGGGTGGATGGATGGGAGGATGGATGGATGGATGGATGGGTGGGTGGGTGGGTGGAGGGATGAGTGAGTGGGTGGGTGGGTGAATGGGTGGGTGGATGGATGGGTGGCTGAGTGGGAGCATGAATGGTTGAATAAGTGACTGAGTGGAATAAATCAGTGGAGTGATCAAGTTGAGTTACTTAGTGAGTGGGTGCCTGGGTTGGGGGAGGGACTGCATGGAATGCAGTTGTGGGCAGAATAAATGGGGGAATGTCAGTGAGGCCATGAGTGCAACAAGTGGTTGAGAAAATGAGGAATGAGTAGAACGAGTGGGGAAAGGAACTATTGAGTTAATGGAATGAGTATGTGAGTGGAACAAACAATGGAACAATGGAGTGAGAGGAATGAATTAGTGACACGAATGCGGAAGTGGGTGGGTGAGTGGTTTAAGTGGAACGAGTGAATAAACTGAATGAGTGGAATAAACAAATGAATGACACAGTGGAATGAGTGAGCGTGTGATTGAGTGCTCAAGGCCAGGAGGCAGCTCACCTCCCTTCCCTCGGCTATGCCGTTGTTGGGACCTGGCGGGTGCTGGGGCGGTGCCAAGGCCAGCAGTGGAACAGGCCTGTGTCTGTGCTGTCCCTCATGGAGCCCCATGCCAGCTCCTCTCCCTGCATGCTGCTTTCTCAGCCCGCTCTCCTCCCAGCCTGAGCTGCGTGTCCCCTGCAGCACTGTGCCATGGTTAGGAGCCTTTATGTCCTGTCCTGGGGACCCTGGCTCCCTGGGTAAGGCTAGTACTACAGCACTTCAGCACCCCAGCACTCCAGTTCCAGCATTGCAAGCTTTCTCTGGACGTTGAACACAAGCTGCTTCCCAAGAGTCTTCAGGGAGAAGGCAAAGCCATCACAGTGCCGTTCGTTTCCAGCTGGGGTGGCTGGGACAGTGCACGTGAGGCAGAGGGTGCCTCTACTGGAAGCCAAGTGGGTTTCCAGGGAACCCAAAGTCCCAGACACAGAGAGGGCCCGGCAGCTGGGCTGGAGAAGGCAGAGCACGCCCCCTTCACTCCCCTTTCCCTCCTGGCCCCCCGCGACCCGTGGCCCTGCCCTCCTAGGCTTCCTCCGACTCCAGGGCAGCCCAGTCCCACCCAGCCTGCCAGTGCAGCTCCACTGCCCATCCCCGAGACCAGCACCGTGGCCTGCTGCCGCCACTGCTGTGCAGGCAGGCCCTCGGGCACACCCCAGCCTGCGCCCCAGCTCTCCTCAAGCCTGGCCCAGCCCCTTCCCTGCATGCTGCCTATACCACTCACCCTGCAAGCCCACGCACTTCACAGGCTCACTGCCATGAGCTGCCCCGGGCACTGATGCCAGCTCCAGCCCTGCTTTCCCTCCAGCTTCCTGCTAAGGCACATCCTAGGCAGGGCAGTGGCAGGGCTGGTGAAACGCAGATGCTCGGGCCCCCGGTGCCCAAAGGCAAACCACGGTGAGTTCAGGCTCCCGACTTCAGCTCAGCCCAAGCCTGGCCATTGCGAGCATTCGGGAAGTGGGCCCGCTAGCTGAAGGACCATCTCTGCCTCTCTGGGGAGACTTTCGTTTCCAGACTTGTTACATTTTCAAGATGATGTAAGTCGTAGCCAGCCCAGGAGGGGCAAAAGTGGGGGGAGGGGGCAGAAGGGGCTCAACCCCATAAAGATGCAGCGTGTAGCCATGCTCCCGGGTCCACTCTACTCCCCTGTGCATGAACCCCACTTTCAGGACTTCAATCTGTAAGAAAAATGACAATGCCTTCAGGGGTCCCCTGCCACTTCAGCAGGGCCAGCGCCGTGTCCCTGCTCCCCTGGCTGCTCGAGGACCGACTGATATGGTGACCCATACCCAGGCCGCTGGTTCAGGGTCACGGAAGTCACACTTCCCATACCTGTGTAGCATTTTCGCCCCCCCCCCCGTGCGTACCCATCATTACCTGGGACTTGGGCGAGGCGCAGGGCTGCACTGTGACTGTCACTACCCTCGCAGGCTCTACCTGCAGGAGCCTGGCGAGGAAGGCTTCAGCCTTTTCCGCCGCTTGGGCGAAGCTTGACTGGTTGGGTTTTCTCATCTATCCTGCAGGCAGACTCAGAACTAAGGTTCTCTCTCCCTTACCCCCTTTGACTTTGTATTCCATGGTTAGTTTGTGTTTCTCGCTCTGAATAAACTTCACCATTTATTTACAGTGTGTTGGTGCCTGTGCTTAAAAATGCTTTCTAGAGAACCTAACACAGTCTAGCCCATAATCCTGGGCGCTGCTCACGACCCCACTTGGAGGGAAGTGTTTGAGCCTGGCGTTCCATCTGGGTCTCCTACATGCATACGGGGCCCTAAGCACTTGGGCTGTCCCCCACAGTTTTCCCAGGTGCATTAACCGGGAGCTGGGTCGGAAGTGGCAAAGCCGGGACATGAACCTGTACCCACACAGGACGCCCGTGCTGAGGGTTGCGTCTTAGTCTGCAAGCCAAATTGCCAGCCCCCAGGGATTTTCTTTAAAATTCATTTCCAGATGCACCCCCTGTCTTCGGTGAGGGTGAATAACCCTTCTCAAGGAAGAACACTTGTTTAAAATCCAGCTCAGGAAAACGCAAGAGGGACGAGCGGACGGTACCTTCGGCGCTGATGCAGGTGCGTGGGGCCTTCCCAGGCCGGCTCAGCGATCGTCACAGGCGGAGGCAGAGGCCTGCCCCCCGTCAGGCACAGCCCTGCAGGTGAGGGGCTCATAGGCCATGGGGGAATTGGGGGGTTATGTGCTGAAGAGCAAAATCCCTCTGGAAGCTGGGGGCCCGACAGACCTGCAGACCAAGGAAACTTCGCCCTGAGAATTCCGCCCTCAACTGACGCTGGGGGCGGTTGGAAAGGCCCTGACGCCTGCCCGCTGCCAGTGTCATGAGGCCATAAGGGCCAGCCCTGGGTGCTACCAGGAGCTGCTAGGCCCCTCACACAGTCAGGCCTCCTTCGAGGGCATCAGAAAGGGACTCTGTGACACCCGCCGTGTGGCAAGGGTCCCCGGCCTGGCCAGCACTCCATGGAGCTGACTCCAGCCACTCCTGCCCAGGGAGCCTGACCAGCTAGCAAGGGTCACTGTGGTGGTGGTGGGATTGCTAAGCCAACTGTCACTGGGGTCTGAAAGGTCACTGATAAACAGAGGGTCACTCAGATCCCTGGGAAGGGGTGCCCATCTTCTGCAGGAAGCACTGACTCAGCCTCAGCCCAGTCCCCAGCTCAGCCCCCTGCCCAGAGCCCAGCCTGGAGCCCTGCCCAGCCTCAGCTCAGCCCCCAGCCCAGTCCCTAGCCCAGCCCCCTGCTCAGAGTCCTGTCCAACCCCCAGCCTGCCCCCAGCCCAGCCCCCAACCCAGCCCCCAGCCCAGCCCCAGCCTGCCCCCAGCCCAGCCCCCAGTCCAGCCCCCAGCCTGCCCCCAGCCTGCCCCCAGCCCAGCCCCAGCCTGCCCCCAGCCTGCCCCCAGCCCAGCCCCCAGTCCAGCCCCCAGCCTGTCCCCAGCCTGCCCCCAGCCTGCCCCTAGCCCAGCCCCCAGCCCAGGCCCAGCCCAGCCCCCAGCCTGCCCCCAGCCCAGCCCCAGCCTGCCCCCAGCCCAGCCCCCAGCCCAGCCCCCAGCCTGCCCCCAGCCAGCCCCCAGCCCAGCCCCCAGCCTGCCCCAGCCCAGCCCCCAGCCCAGGCCCAGCCCAGCCCCCAGTCCGTCCCCAGCCTGCCACCAGCCTGCCCCTAGCCCAGCCC